GCGAGCACGCAGCAGGCGCGAGCAGCAGCCTGGCTCCCAGGGCTTGCAAAGCCAAGGGCGAAGCAGCGAGAGCTGTTCCAGGAAGAAATTCAGGCTAGAGGGGCTGTGGGGGCGCGGGTAAGGATTCCAGGGGGAGCCAGCAGCCAGCACCAGCTCCATGTTTGGTTTAAGGAGGCGGCACGGGTAGCTGCAAGCCACCCCTTGTGCAGGAGGCAGCAGGAGCGCGGTGGGGCTGGAGAAGCTGGGTCACAGCCATGGGGGTGGGACAGGCATTGCAGCATCTTCCTCAGCACACAGGGGCCAGCTCATCTCGCTTCGCTAAAAAGGAGCAGCTCCCTCCGCCAGCTCCGCCAGAGGTTCTGATTAGAGCCGAGCAATGAGAGGTTAGAAAGAAAAAGAGGAACAAACCCAGACCTTCACCGTCGCCGCTTGTTCTCATATCCAGCCTCAAGCCCACCCCACCGGGAGAAGTCACCCTGGATGAACATTCAAGAGCATGAGGGCATGGCCTGCACGTACCCCTTGAGGCTTCCTTTGCTTAGCAAATACCCCCCATACCCAAACCCAAAATGGTTTGCACAGAGGGGATAGAAACTAACCCACAAAGGGCACCCCCTCTGCACAACCGCTGCCTGGGAAGGCTTCATCCACCCCCTGCAGCGACAGCAGACGGATCCAAGCCCAGCCCTGCAGATGCTGGCCCTGGCGAGCTGCCGCAGAAACGGGGTATTTTAGGAACTCTGCTGCTCCTGTGAAGGCCCAGGAGGCACCACGCACCAAAGGCAAAGCCTCCCACGCCCCCAGGATGGCCGGGTGCACCCCTGCTTTTCTCCTACACTGCCGATATTCTTGGCAGGAGGGTCAGGGAGACGGCCACCTTGGCCCTGCTGCACAGACCCAGGCATCGCCGCTGGGATGCTCCCAACCCAACAAAACCTCGGCCAAGCGCACCCCAACCCCACGAGAGGAAGAGGCCAAGCACTGGCCAAGTCAGCCGAAGGCAGGCAAGGAAGGGGACCACGTCCTCCTCGCCCAGGAACAGGCACAGCCGAGGTGTTCTCTCCCCACGGAGCACACACCACACGACAACCGGTTATTATATCATGCTTTTAATACAAACTTAAAAAAATCTGGAACAATAGAAACTGTACAGATTTGATCAACCTTTTTTTTTTTTTCTGTTTTTGTTTTGTTTTTAACTAAATCTCTAGTCACACCAATGTCCCGTTCCAAAATATTGCACAACATTCTGAATACAAAACTCTTGATTGTATTCCTCCTTCGCTAAAGAAAAAAAAAAAAAAAAAAAAAAAAAAAAAAAAAAAAAAAAAAAAAAAAAAGAAAAAAAGACAGCCCCCCCCCAGTTCCCCCTCTCAGCAGCCCCCTTCTCAGAAAGAAACCCAAGCAGAGCGCGCACGGGAACCCTCCGCTCGCAGGCACACAAGCTTCTGTCCTCTTTCACTCACTCTCTCCCAACAAGGCAACCGTTGATCCACTCCTCAGAGAGGGGCGGGAGGGAAAGGAGGGAAGCTGACTGGGGAGAAAGGAATCTTCACCACTTCTTTTTTTTTTAAAGTTTTTTTCCTGAAAAAATATTTTTTTCTCTCCTCTTTTTAAGAAAAAATCTTGAAAAGAAAAAAATTACAGTTTTTTTTTTACGTTAGAAATATACATATATTATATATACCTCTTACATTTTACAAATGTAGCAAATTATTCAATACAAACAGACATCAACAAAAAGAACACAAACCCATAAAAAATAAAAGTTAAAAAAAAAAATTTCTCTCTTTTCTTCCTAAGAAACCAGGTAAATTAGTGCAGGTTTTTAAAAAATAAAATTGAAGCTGAACGCCTACATCCAAGACTAGAAAAGACCCGAAAAGGCCGTTAGTTTCCATTGCTGCCTGACGCTGGAGGAACGTTTCTGAAGCACGCTCTTTTCCTTTTAAGATACAAAGAGGTTGGTCCCTCCTCTTTTCCTCCTTCCACTCGCACCGCTGTTTGTAAAGCAGGTACAATACGTGTGGCAGGGCAAAGCGGCACCAAAGCGTCGCACACACAAGCAGGTGGCTGGGGCGGGGGGGAGGGCAGGATCCCCACCCCTCCCGTCCCTCCCTGTGCTGCAGGAGAGCACCCTGTGCCGCAGCAGCAGCTCACAGGTGGCTCTGCCAGATTCGGGGATGCTGAGGGGGGCAAGTGGATCGGGTCCCGGGATGGCGGTGTAAGCACCCCTCAGGCCAGCATGGCAAGTGGGCTGGCACTCAGCAGCACACTCCCGGGGAGGAGGACGGGGTGGCAGTGGGAACAGCCATAAGTGAAGGGTTTGGAAAAAAAAAAAATTAAAAAAAAAAAAGGGAAAGCCACCAGCTCAGCCATTCCTCAGCAACTTGCCCGAGTCTGGAAACCTGCAGGGCTGAGGCTGTGGGTGCTGGTTTTGGGGAAGCTGGCTGGGCTCCTCTGTCCTCCCACGTTGGTCATAGCTCAATGGCAAGTGGCCTGCTCGGGAACCTGCGCTGGGCGCAAGGCCGGGACCATGCCCCCCCCCCAGTCACCCAGCGAGGGGAAGGGTGCGCTGGAAGCGCTCCTTGAAGAGCTCCAGGCTGCGGCAGTCTCCCTGGGACAGCCCCGTTACCTCTGCAAAAGCTCATTGGCAACTGAGCTGCGAGAGGGTTGGAGTGCCTTCATCTCAGCTCGAGGGAAGGGAGCGGGAAAAGCACGAGGAGTTCAAGCCCATCTCCCCCAAAAGGGGGATACATTGAAAGAGCACGTTGGTTCGACAGATACAGGAGAAGCGGGTTTCAGAGGGTGCTCCAGAGGCATCATTCAAAGAAAACCAAACTTCAAGTCTGGGAGGCAGCAAAAAGCTTATTTTTCTTTTAAACTGAGAACTTCAAAGACTGGAGTCATCATCTCCACCTCTCTCCTCTTTGCACGTGTCCACACTCCCTCAACAGCCTCCAAGGAGGCCTCCTTCCCACCTAGGGAGCCTCCAACCCTGCCTGGGCAAGCAGCAGCCCTCCTTCGGCTCCCCGTGAGGGTGGGGTTTGGAGTCCCTGACACAGAAGCGACCCGGCTGAGAAGCCGCTACAAAACGCACACCAACAAAGCCA